ATGTGGCCCTGTCCAACTTTTGTGGGTTTGGCACTCACTTTTCGTGATAAAAAAGTCAAACATTAATTTAATGATTTTAATCTTAGCTAAAAACCATGTTTGCATTAACTTTAGCCTTTATTCATTATTATTGAATTTGTAATCAACTTTCCTGGCAATGGAAGTCATACACAGAAATGAATGTTTGACAAATATGTCATTTTGATATTCCCATAAATTTTTCTTCGTCTAATTTTCACCAAATTATGAATACATATAACCAAATGATACATAAATAATTCAAAACTATAGAAATTCATTAAACACTCAATTATCGATATTTACACAAATACAATACATGAGCTCGTGTTTATTGAGTAATTGAGAACCTTGGGTGTCAGCGAGATTTTTGCCATTTTCTAAAGAGCTTATCCATCATTTCTTGCTTCTACTCATTTTCTTTCTTCAGAAGTTTCGATTTTTTTTTGAAAAATTTTACTTTCAAGAGTTTTTAAATAACTAATATTTTGTCCAATATGGAGTGATTTAAATTTAAATTAATAATTAATTTTAACCACATATATCATTCAAGTTTAATTAATCAAAAAAGATTAATCACACTTTTTAAAAATTTGAAATCTCTACGTACATTTTTGAAAGGTGAGACATCCGATGCTAATTATTCCTTTTTAATTGATTAAAAGGTTAACAGATCATTTTATCATATTTAAAATTAATCAATATATAATCAAATACTTACTTTTAATCAACTAACAATTTTTTGAACAAAACCCGTCCAAAAACCCTACCACGTTTTTGAAAGGTTGGGAGGCTATCTGCTAGCCTCTGCTGCAAATATCTCTTACCCCATGTTTGTCTACCATTATCTAAATTATTTTTTTTAGTCTAAGTCATTTTCAACAATACATTCTCACAATAAAATATTTTACATTTTTTCTTAATTTTTAACCACACATTTTTCAAAAATTCACTATTCCAAAACTCATTTTCATTGAATAATGATAGACAAACAGAGCGTTAAATTGTCAATTTCGAAGGCACGCTCGTTATAGATACAACAGAAAAATAATTAGCACCGCGACTACAAAATCTACGAGAAGATTAAAGGGGTGTTTGGTCGATATTATTGAGGAAAGAATGTATTTTAAATGGTGATATGATGTGAAATATGTGGTTAAAAAGTAAGGAAAAGTTATTGATGTGATGAAAAATATTATTTTATTGACGAATGTGTGGTTGAAAATAAGTTTTGAAATAATGTATTTTAAAAGAATGTGTGTCAAACGAGGGCAAAATGAAGCAAATACAATAAAAACCAAAATCACTATCTTAATTTCTGTATATGAACTCTTCCAGAATCTGAAGTAATAATCAACATAAGAGGTTAATTCCCAAATGGCTTTCATGAATGAGTAATAAATTTCAAAGATCTGCCCTTCCGGAGTATCTGGAGAACGAATCATCCTTTCGAACCCTAAACCAAATCCACTGTCCCATAACGTCGTAGGTCAAGGTACCATTCATACGGCTCGAGAAGTAGACTTATTTCCGTAATCCTGCAGAAAATCACAAAGGAGCCTCGTCTATATTCAAGAGTCCACAAGTCGTCCAAAAAAGAAACTATAGCGCCCAAAAACACTGTTGTCCATTGCAATTGTAAGAGCATCTCTAATGCAACCATAAATTGCTTAAAAATTGTGCCACGAGCAAAATACACCATGTTAAAAAAAAATGTAAGAGAATCTCTAGCGTGGCATGTTAAAAATTAGACATTTTCTAAAGTTTCATCACTATAACAAAAATAGCCTATGGCAACGTTCAAAAAAATGTTGCCGTAAGCCTAACGGCAACGTTTGGACGTGTGTTGCAAATTGAGGTATTGTCGTAGAGTAGAGAGATACGACAACGTTTTTTGAACGTTGACGAAAGTCTACGGCAACGTTTCGTATCCTACGACAACGTTTGTCATACGTTGCCGTAGGGTGGATTTTATTATTATTATTATTATTATTTAACAACAACAATTTATGTAAATAGATTGGCAAAATAAAAAATGCAACTTATGAACAAATTTTAAAATTGCATAAAAATTGATAATTGCATTACAAATTTTTGAATCCATACACTTGAAAATTAGAATGTGANATTACAAAATTTTGAATCCAAACACTTGAAAATTAGAATGTGATACAACACCACTTAAATAAAATTGAGCTTCAAAATGAAATAAAATGGAAAGGGAAAAATTTGATCATAAACGGAACACATAAACTACTCTCTTTCTTATTTCCAGATGATTTCACGACTGCAGCACATTCTTCAACAGCCTTCTTCTCTTCCTTAAGCAAGAACATTAAAAATTGAGTCAACCTCTACAGAGCTTCTCTGATGATGAGCTTGTTTCCCAATATTACTAAGGCCGCTTGAAACCCAAGAATAAATAACTCTGCAACCCAAAACCTACTAATCACTAGCAACAATGACAAATATAGTATAAACAATCACAATTTATGAATGGCCAATAAATATCACTAACTCAAGTTATCAGTTCATTCAATTGATGCAAAAGGAACTTATAAGTTAGTTTAGAAGGACTGGACATTATTGTATTTCCACAATATACAACTATATCTCCAACAAAACAAATTCATATCCATAGACATACCCCAGATATAATTTTTTAAACATTATAATCACCCCCAACAGAAGACCCCAAAAGGCAGTAAATCTGGAAGAAAAAAAACCATTATCAAGCTGTAGCACATCTCATACATTGCCCTTGATCAATAATAATCAGCCTTCCAATGCATATGAAGGAACCTCGAATAAATTAGCTAATTGTTAGTAAGATTAATATATAATATAGAATAAGAGCAACTTTAATCACAATAACTTGATCATTCACAATACAATATTGAGACTGGCCAGCAGTACAATGGGTACATTAGGTCAAGGACAACATCCTGATGAACTTGTGAGAAAGAATATTGGATATTGGTGCATGTAAGGTACAAAACAGAGGATTAGGAATATGATGGAACCAAATTGTTATTCTCTAAGTATGTTCAACAGGCATGCCAATCTCAAAAAGTTTAATAATCAAATGGTTCATCAATTCTTAATCATTTCTCAGGTTGTATTAAATGTAGATCCAAGTATCTACAATCATAAAGGAGCAACATCTATTTCTAAAGGAGTTTCAGTCGGGTAAAATCTGAAACATATAAGCAAAACTTATCTCGTAATACAACAAGCGATGAAATATCTCCAATGACCATAAATTAGAATCACTTTTGGCATATTAAAAAGAAAAAAGATGTTTCACTAAATTTATGCGAATATAATTTTTCTGTGACAGTTCAACGGAGCAAATGCCTAGATATAGTAAGATTCTTTTGACAAAGGAAAGACTGCTTGATTATCAGTCACTCAATATGCTATAGTAAACTATGGACTTGTAATTATTGCATCCTTACTGAGCATCACTGCACTGATCGGGGATATGCATGAAAAACATATTCTGCGAGCTTATTACAAGCACAAATCCTTTATTCAATTTGGCTTAGAAGTAAATTCCCCACACAACACACATTTAAAAACAACTTGAGCAACAGAAAAGAAGCAAATGAAAATAAATGCATGTCTTCTTATACCTCAAACATGATTTCATCTGAAAAACAAGATCCTTCATGTTTAAAGCTACGAGAAAGATCACAACGAAGAATCCTTAGCTTTCCTTCCTGCAGTATTTAGAATTTAGAAGAAATTTATAAAGTACAAGATCAAACTAGAGATTCTTGACACAATTTTGTTGTTTACCTTGGTTCCATATACAAGTCCACCCTCTGCTGAAGGATGGAAGCAAGCAACATTGACCTTATCCTTTGCTGAAGGATGGAACCAGAATGCAATATTGATACATAACCCATTGAGTTTTGATCACACGACCACGATAATAGTTGCCTTTATAGAAGACCAATGATTTCTTCATTCCAATTACTCGATTGGTTCCAGGAGCCACAATTTGGCTGTCTTGGCCAGTGGCTTTCCAGTAACCACAATTAGCACTGAAACTGCTACAATTATTCATTACATTCCTGTTTCTCTTGCTAAAGAAATATCTCTTCTCCTTCAAATCACCTTAAATACATAGAGGGATTTGTACAATGAATGAAAAATATAGGGAAGACGTGTGTAGTGGGGAATCTAAACCCAATGGGAAGTTTAATGTCTTCACCTCCATTTCCATCTCCCACACCAACGTTTGTATATGGGGGAACTGAAACTGAACCTCGAACTGAAATCAGGCTGATAGAGGACAAATTAGGGGAGACCCATGGCTGGGCTAGGTGCGCCAGGTGAAGGCGAACCCAGCCCAGGTGGTCCGAGACCGTGGTTCATCTGGACGACTTCGGAATCAACGAAAAATGTAGCATGTGTCGCGACATTCGGGACTGCGCAGATTAATGGATAAAAATGGGAGTTGTTGGGTGGGAAATGTAGAGGATGTTGAGGAGGTTATGTTGGTACCAATGTCCGGCGGTCTAGGTGGCTGGAAGTCGCCGGAAAATTGGTGGCGGCAAAAAATGGAAACGTGAATGAGTTTAGGATTAGGGTTATTATTGGTTCCCATGTATAAATTAATTTGGAATGTGATTGGATTCATTTAAATGGGCCAGAATATTATTTGCAACGTTTGTCGAACGTTGCGAAATGTGACTTTTAGCAACGTTTATTGAGTGTTACGAAAGGTTTTACCTTTAGCAACGTTTGACAAACGTTAGTAAAAGTCACTTTTCGCAACGTTTGGTGAACGTTGCGAAAAGTCTCCCCTTTCGCAACGTTTGTCAAACGTTGCTAAAGGTAAAACATTTCGCAATACTCAATAAACATTGCTAAAGGTGTCTACCACAATATTTTTTTAAAAAAACGTTGCCAAAACTCATTTATATTAACTAATGACAACATTCACTTACTAAAATGTTGTCAAAAGACCCTTTTGACAACATTTGTTTGTTGCAAATGACTATTTTTGTTGTAGTGCATCAAGATTCAAAAGCTCTATTGATCATGTTTACTCAACAAATTTATATTTTCTATGCATATTTAGATTTCCTTAATGTGATTTGATTTTTATTTTAAGAAAATAAAAGATGCTTGGATAGCAACTCATAGAACGCATTGGAGAGCAATTTCGTAGCCTATTCATTTGACATCAACGCTACATAAAATAAAAGGCTTTCAGCCTCGGCCCCACCTAGATAGCTATCTATAGAATGCATTGGAGATGCTCTAAGAACAAAATTTGTGTATGTGAAGCGGGGGCTGGGCCTAGAGGATATCCAAGCATTCTATACCTGTCTCTTAAAACCTCGTAATTCTCTTGAGAAACCGAAGGTGGTTAGTCAAGTCCTACCTGAAAAGGCAGATAAAAGCATTATAGAAACTAACACCGTGCCTAAACATGTTCTTCCACATGCACGTGTTCACAAAATAATGGATATGCAGAAAAAGAACACAGAAAGGGAAAGGGGCACAGACATTCATGAGGAGAAGAGAGACGTTGAAATTGAAAAAAGAATGTACCTTCGGTACAAACATCCATAGCTGCAACTGTCTTATTGTCTTTATTAACCTTCATATAAAATGCTTTAATTCCTTTTGGGTAGTTATACACAATGACTGGTGCTTTAAATTTCTCTTCAGTCAAGTACCTACATGTTTAGGCACACTCATGTTACCAAGAATGCACACTGAGTCAACTGAAATAGAATCACCGAGTACCTTTCATGTTCAGATGCTAAATCATTCCCCCACTCTATTTTTTATCAAAGTTCTTTTCTTTAGATGCTTCCACAAGAATTTCTACTGCTTCTGTGTAAGTAATTCGGTAGAAGTTGGATGAAGCAACCATTTTTAGCCTCTCGATCACAGATTTGTCAATGAACTTGGCAATGAACTCTCCATGTCATCATAGCAATGGTCAAGTAACCACTGACAAAGAAATTGCACATAGGCCTCTGCGCAATTCATATCGTCCTACAAAAGGCAATTATGTCATCTATTGAGCTAGTCTAGTGTAATAAGATAGCAGCTTATTTATTAAATATTGTTGTTTTAATACTAATTCATCGACGCAGACAAACTGTTAATTTAAGTTATTCTGAAATTAAGTTTCCATGTCTATTTCATTTTACTGAACTAATCAATTCATATTCTAAAACACATTTTTTCCTTTTCCAGAACAAACTAAGATTTTTACTCTGCTAAAATATGAATTCACAGGCTACTGGTAACTCAGTATTATCAGCAGAATGGTAAAACTAAAAATGTACATATCTATTCTTTATCACAAAACTTCAATATTAATTGAACAACCTTGTTAAATAGAATATTTTTTCAAACTATAACATTAGAATTACGAAACTCGAGATTTCTCAGCAGTTTCCATTATCTTGCATTATTCACAGGCAGTTATATAAAGTCGTAGCAGAAAATATTGATCTGTAAATCAGATATATGTTTAGGCACAACAGATAAGTTCACAGTTTTTTCGTTTGTTTGATAAAAGTAATACAAGAGTCCATAGTTGAAAACCTTTATATCAGCAAAGGCTATTTCAGGCTCTACCATCCAAAACTCGATGCCTTGAATTGTGTGAGTGTTCAGCTTGAAATGTCGGCCCAAATGTATACACACTACTGAGTGCATATGCATGCGTTTCAACCTGAAGTTGCCCAGAAACAGTTAAAAATGCTTGGCGGGCGAAAAAATCCTCTGAATAATCAATCTTCCCATCTTTCCTAGGAATGCCACCACTAAGCTTACATCTCTCCCCAAGTTTAAATCGTTCGTCCAGCTTTGATAGGTTCTCTTTAGCCTTAGTGAGCTCAGCAAGAGCAGCACTAATTTCTTGCTTACTTGCTTTAGCTGCTTTTAGTTGGGCAACAGCTTCTCCTTTTTCTTTGACAGCAAGTTCAGCAACCTTCAAGTCATCTTCTGAAGGAGCAGGGTTCTCTTTCAAATCCTTCTCCAATTTCTCCACATCACTAATTAAGGTTGTGGCTTGAAACATTTCACCAGCACCCTCGCAATCACTAGTTGTTATAATAGGAGTGTGATGTATCTCTTTTGGTACTAAAACCTGGAATGTGTGGGTTGCGTACGCAAGAGCATTGAGGATTCTAGCAATTGCAGAAATCTGAACCAAGATAGGTATAAGAAATTGAGTGAGAAAACTGACATTTCTCTTATCAAAGCGAGAGGGCTCAAATAGGGCATTAAGGTCTTGCAAAATATTAGTTCCAGTTTTATCATTTGAAAATCCTAGCTCATGCTCCGCAAATTTCTAAAAACTACCAACATAAGTAAAGCAGACAAATTTTCAATTCATACCTACCAAGAGATCTGTCGCAAATTTACTCATCATCGTTAAGATTATAACATAAGCAATCTAAGAAGGGGAAAAATTGCTAGTACACCACTATTTAATTGATGTGTATTAAATAATTGGGACCCTCTATTTAAATGAGACCAATAATATACATGCCAATTAAATAGTGGCAAAGAGCACTGAATTTCCATACTCCAGGAGTAACAGAAATTTTCTCCTAAAAAGGATTCATTTTCATCTCATAATAAAATAGTAAACACGAATAAAGGTGAATATCAGCAAATGCATCTACTAGAATGTGTGCGTCACCATCGACTGTATAATGGGATTATAATCAACCATTAGACAGGCACTTTCCCCTTAGCTTTTGCACTTTAATAGAAATATTCGCATGAATACCATAAAAAAGAATTATGATACTAATTCATGCATGGCATCATTTTCATAATCAATGGCGGATACCAAAAGGACAGAGTTATCACACAATTCAGTTAAATCACCATTAGGAAACTTCAAAACATAATTCAAAAAATATATCTTTTATCTCAGAAGCATTTAAATTTATCCGTCATTGGCCAGTTCGGACCTAAATGAAGCCTTAAATTCAGAATTTTATATCTGAGTACCATAGACTACATCCACGTGAAATATACCAATTTACAATTCCCAAAGAATGAACACTCCGATGTACACTTCCCAAACAACTACAAAGAATACTCAACTTCGATTATGAAATTCCTCACAGTGTGCATTTCAATAATTAAACCAAATATTCAAAGCGGAGTAGAGGATCATACAGTATTGGTTCTGGGACGAAGAACCACAACATCTCTCAGAAACTCAAGAGTCAATTTGGTCTTCGGCAATGGATATTTGGCAGCATCAACATGTTCCAACATCAATAACTTTTCGTACCCTGAGTTCAATCCTCTGTTTCGCGCCTTCGGGAGGAACCTTGAGCTCGCCCTCGACATGGACACACGTGCAGATGGGCACCAGGTCGGCGAGCTTGTGAACGGAGGTGTCCACTATTACCTGCAAGTTCCCCGGGCAGGACCCATCGTTCAATTCCAAAAAGGCGAAACTGCCCTTCCCCTGCTCCCGGCCAGTCTTCACCCATCCGCCAATGCGGACGGTCTGGCCCGCCAGCCCTGCTTCACCGTCGGGACGGCACAGGACGGAGCGGATTCGGACCCGTTGTGAGAATTCGGCCTCCGGCACGGCGATGTCCAGGGTGAGGTTATCCACCTGCGGCGACTGGAGTGACATTTTTGTGGGAAGAGAGAATGAATTCATTTTGGGATACATTTTGAAATTGTTAATAATGTGTTATTTTTATCATTTTTAAAAATTGTTTTGAAAAATAAAAAATTTCAAAATGCATTTACTTTCTCCCATGAATTTTCTCAGTCGTCTCTTTCTCTCTCTTCTTCCGTCCTCTCTGTAACCTGTCGAAATCTCATCCTTCGGTTACCGTCTTCATCACAGACCACCGTCGGTCAACTGCCCACCTCGGGCGACTCAGAAACAGCCATCAATTTAATCCAAACAACAATTAATCGAAATGAGGGTCACGATCCCGTTTCGCGCAATCCAAAGAAATATGTGATTCCAACAACGTTCGTTCAACCCATGGTCGCGGACCACATGGGTCACCTTCCTCTCCCTTCGGAACACCTAACCCAACCATAGGTCAAGCCCAATTTCAACCACAACTCTTTGATTTTATAGGTAAACTTAGGGTTGAAAACTGAAAATTTGTGGTGGTGGAGGTGGCTGGTGGGTGGTGACACTGTGTAGTGGCGATTTTTGTGGTGGTGGCTATAGTTGGTGATTTGGCAGTTGTGTAGTGGTGATTTCAACGAAAACACGTTTTGAAAATTTTGACCAAGTTATAATTGAAAATACCTAAAACGACAAATTTATCGTTTTGAGTTTTCTTCGTAAATTTAAACTTGTTTTGAAAAATGCATTTTCAAAAATAGAAAGAGAATGCGTTTTCACTATTTTGGAAAATCGAAAAAAGAAAAAGGTTTGAAAACGGCAAAGAGAACATGCCCTTAATTTTCTAATTGGATTTTATATGTGGGACCATTTGGAAAGAATCTTGACTTGGACGTTAGTTTTTTTTGCTTAGGCCGTGTTTGATAGGCCACATTTTCCGGGGAAGTAGGAAAATATTTTCCACTTTCCACTTTTTTGGCTGTTTGATAGGCGAAATTTTCCACGGAAAATATTTTCCGGATTTTCCCCACACGTGTGCAATTTTCGGGTTTTTGATGAAAATGTTTTC